GTCTCTGTGCCCACCTCACTACCCAAGCATCGCGGCGGAGCAACCTAGTGTCATGCGATCCAGCGCTATGTGACGCTGCCAGTACCATATCCCCGCAAGCCCTGCCCCGAGGGCTACCACTAAAAAACAACAAGCCCCGCTGCGAACTTCCCTGGAGCCCCTGAGCCTACCTCAGTTTGCCCGCGGCCCCTCGTGACGGCGGCGTGAGAAGAGAGGGAGGAGGGGCTGTACGGAAGGCGACAGTTAGGGATCCTCCGTGTCGCTAGAGGAGGAAAGCACAGGGAAGGGAGGGGGGGCAATACACCAAACGACTTGTTGTTAACTTTTACCATCTTGCCTAAAAAGTATATAAGCAACACCAAATAAAATAACCAAAACCCTTTGCGATATACAAAATTGAAAACCAAAATAAAGTACTCCCTCCGTTTTTATTTAGTTCGCATATTAGCTTTGGTCAAAGTCAAGCTTTACAAACTTTGACCAAGTTTATAAACAAAAATATTAAGATATACAATAACAAATCAACATCATTAGATTTATTATTGAATGTACTTTCACATCATATAGATTTATTATGATAAATGATAAATGTCTATATTGTTTTCTATAAACTTGGTCAAACTTATGAAGTTTGACTTCAATCAACTCTAATATGCAGAGTAAATAAAAACGGAGGGAGTATATAGTAAGCTAAACAAATAATCAAAACCTTTAAAAAAACAAATAACCAAACTTTTGATATATCTAGACAAAATAATGTCCAGTGGTCTGGTTATATATGCTGCATCACGTGGTCAATGGGACAGAGTTTTTGGAATCTTTTAGAAAAATAAAGGCGGTCAACAAATAGACTACCTTTAAGAAAAAAAATACAGGAGAAGACTATGTTTGGCAAACCCGGAGAAGTATTCTAACATGTCCACATTATGGTTGCTGTCGTTAGAAAAATGAACACTGCTCTCACCTTGACAACAATGTACAATTATTATATTATTTTGGATGGTAAACTATCAAAGTCGATATTAATTGTTCCCATAGTCAATTTGACAACTTTGAATAGAACAGCGAAATGATGGCCAATCAGCAAACAGGCATGCATGCCCACCGATATCGACCAAAAGAGAGGAACCACATATGTTTTAATTCCACTTTCCTAGAAATGGACACCTAGCACATGCATGTTTCATCGATATTCGCCGGATGTGCTTCCCAGCTCGATAGGCGGTTGGGCCATGCATGCACGGCGATGTGTGATTGGATGATTAGTGGGACTGTGTGAGTGTATGCGCGTGTTTATCAGCATTTGCGTCTGTACTGTATTAAAAAAAAAGCAACGACATCAATCACAGGAGCAGTGCTCAGTGGGCTTCAACAGCGCCACACGCGGTGTGCGTGGTGGCCGCGTGGGCTTGAACTGTTAGGCAAACAGAAGAGAGAGAAAGGGATCAGCTATGGCTCA